GAGTACAACATCAACGATGAGGACTTCCGTTATCTCACCGTTGATGTCCACGGAGGCACCTTTGGGCATTGGTTTGGTTACTACCCAACCGTGAAGATGTACAATGGTGTCGGCAATGTGTACATCAGCGCCTATTACTTCCGTCCTCTTCCTGTCGAACCTGACATGATTACTGGAAATCATTCAGTAGGTGAGGAAGCAACCACCACACCCAAGCCGGTGGATGGTGAGCACGGCCGGGACGAGGATTATCATCACGTCACTTTGACGGCCAAGGCCCGGGCTAACATTTACCTCCCATGGGGTCAGACGGCTGTTCCTTGCTTTGGTCCCGCTGGTGGCGATGGCGCCTGGTATCTGATGCATCAGTTTGGTGATGAGAGGCTTCATTGTGTCGTCTTTGATGGTAAGTATAAGACATGGTATTCTGCTGATCAACCTAAGAAGAGGGATCCTGTGTGGGTAACCTCCGGCGATGTTCTCCTCGCCATGAGGAAGCGTTCTGGTTACATGCGGGGATACCGCGTTAAGGTCCTCGCTCACGGCCTCCCATTCATCCTCCAGTGGAGGGGAGTCCAACGCGGTATGCAGTCCACTACGGCGAAGATTGAGAGGGGATGTGGCGGCTTTTGCGTTTTTGGCGACTACGGCCCGATGTATACCGTTGACGACACCTACCGGGTTGAGGACTCGACTATTGAGCTCAGCTTCGACCATTCCGTCCTCACGGCTACAACACCATACCCTCCCCATGATACTACGGAAACACCAGAGATGCCGGGGACGGGGGCGCCTGCAGAGTCTACTACTAACGAGGCCCCTGTAGAAGAATCTACTACTGAGGCCCCTGTAGACGAGTCTACCACTGAGGTCCCTGTAGACGAGTCTACCACTGAGGTCCCTGTAGACGAGTCTACTACCGAGGCCCCTGTTGACGAGTCCACTACTGCGACCCCTGTTGACGAGTCTACTACTGAGGCCACTACTGAAGAGTTTACTACTGAGGCCGCTGTAGATGACTCTACTACTGAGGCCACTATGGAAGGGTCTACTACTGAGGCTCCTGTAGCCGAGTCCACTACTGAAGCCCCTGTTGGTGAGTCTACTACCGAGGCCCCTGTAGACAATTCTACTACTGAAGCCCCAGTGGATGAGTCTACTACTGAAGCCCCTGTAGACGAGTCCACTACTGAGGCCACTATGGAAGAGTCCACTACTGAGGCCCCCGTAGATGCGGCTACCACTGAAGCCCCTGTAGACGAGTCCACTACTGAGGCCCCTGTAGACGAGTCTACTACTGAAGCCACTGTAGACGAGTCCACTACTGAGGCCACTATGGAAGAGTCTACTACTGAGGCCCCTGTAGACCAGTTCACTACTGAATCTCCTGTTGGAGAGTCTACTAGTGAAGCACCTGTAGATGAGTCCACTACTGAGGCCCCTGTAGACGACTCTACTACCGAGGCCCCTGTAGACGAGTCCACTACTGAGGCCACTATGGAAGAGTCTACTACTGAGGCTCCTGTAGCCGAGTCCACTACTGAATCCCCTGTTGGTGAGGCTACTACCGAGGCCCCTGTAGGCGAGTCTACTACTGAGGCCCCTGTTGGTGAGTCTACTACCGAGGCCCCTGTTGACGAGTCCACTACTGAGGCCCCTGTTGACGAGTCTACTACTGAGGCCACTACTAAAGAGTTTACTACTGAGGCCGCTGTAGATGACTCTACTACTGAGGCCACTATGGAAGGGTCTACTACTGAGGCTCCTGTAGCCGAGTCCACTACTGAAGCCCCTGTTGGTGAGTCTACTACCGAGGCCCCTGTAGATGCGGCTACCACTGAATCCCCTGTTGGTGAGTCCACGACTGAAGCACCTATAGGTGAGGCTACTACTGAAGTCCCTGTGAATGAGTTTACTACTGGCGCCCCTATAGACGAGTCCACTACCGAAGCTCCTGTAGGTGAGGCTACTACCGAAGCCCCTGTAGATGACTCTACTACTGAGGCCACTATGGAAGAGTCTACTACTCCTACAGCCACCCTGACTGAGTCTATGACTACTGGAGCCTCTTCAATGGTGTCCACCACTGAATCCTCTATGATGGAGGCTACTAGCACTGGAGCTCCGGTAGTTACCAGTGCGCCTCCTATTGGCGACTTCACTGATGCTCCTCCCATCCTCCCATAAGGCAGCACTGCATAAGACAGAGCTTTATGTTTGAGGATTGATTATTTTTGTATAAAGCTCTCATGACTACTCCACTGGTGAGATGTTGTTCAGAAACCTCCATGAATGGAATGAAGCATCATCTATAAGCATCGCCGTGTTGTGTAGACGTTAATGTTTTGGTGAGTCGAGCGGTGCATTTACTTGCACTGCAGACGCGATGTGAATTATCATATCCGATGACCAGAGTCTAATGCGCTGCTAACAACAAGATCTGTTGGTGCAGTGGACGATGTCAGCGATTCTTAATAGCTATTGTAATTACTCTCGAGCAAGCGTGAAGCGTGGGTGTCCCATTATTGTCAAATATGCTGCACGCATGCTGCTGACTCACCTGATGTTGGAAAATAGATGAATCTAATCGACGGCATTGGATAGACAGCAATAACTTTTGAGGGTTCCTCACACATTATGGAAAATGTTGATACATTGCAGATCTGTCGAAGTTCAAGCTTCCTTTAGCTTGGACGACAAGAAAATGGTATTTTCTTACTAGCCAGGTTAAGGCGGAAAAATATTTAGTCTAGCCGCTGGGTTAACCAGCCAGCTTACTTACTTGGAGAGGCAGTTCAAACCGAAGTTGAATGTTTGTTCTGCTGATTTGCACACGGTTGCAGTAAAGATATTCTACGATTGGCACGGACGATTCAAACTGAATTAATAGGTATATCAACCTGTATGACTCATTTTCTCGAGGCGCGATCTTTTTTTGTCGATTGTTATGTGAACCCTCCTCAACTCTCAAAAGTACCCTAAATGTCTGGAGATGAACTGAATGAACAACACAAGTCCGAGGGGCTAGATAGAAATAGAGTCCAATCAATTACTTTATACTCTTAGCATGGAGATATCCAGAATGACAACAATAATGAAGAATAGCTCAGTAACAAAAACTTCAGTATGGCGTCACGCTACCAGCGTGAAGTAGTACTCTTCAGGGACAGGGATAGGCAGTGCCAGTACATCCAGCCGAGACCTCATAGCACAATCCGCTGGCACTTTGGAGGAGGCCGAAACAAACAGGAGTATCGAGCCAGGTCTTGCAGAAAGATTTCCACTGACTTGCTGAACAATCGGCGACTGACTCACATGCAGAGGAGCAGCTGTCAAACGACGTTACCGCAGCACCGCATGAGACAGCTCCGCTCGAAGCAGCAGAGCCCACGTCATGGCATATGTTGTCGTCACCACAGTAGCTGAAGATGCAGTCGGGGGATGCATCACAAAGACTTTGGCAATAACCACCATCGGCGGCATGAAGCTTCTCGGCGATTATGAGGGCAGACCCGCCGACGGCTTGACGGATGACTAAGGAGGCCAAAGTGATGAAGAAGATGACGCAGTGCATTACACGAAGTTACACTTCTGTGGCATATCGCGTATTTGCTTACAGAGGAAGAATCTACCCCGATGACTCATACGGATTGTCGATGAGCCCAA